GTGATGGAATACCCCACACTTGCCCTGGATGGGAGCAGCTCCGACAAACGCTCGAGAAGCTCCATATCGTCCAGGACAAAGCAGCCCCCCTTGGATTGGCACCACATCTACAAACATCCATTCCCTCCACCACCGACGCTCAGTCGCAGCAGTGTGTACCGTCTACAAGATGCACTACAGAAATTCACCAAAGATCCTCAGACAGCACCTTCCAAACCCATGACCACTTCCATCTAGAAGGACAAGGGCAGCAGATACATGGGAAGAACCAGCCCCTTCAAGTTCCCCTCCAAGTCACTCACTGCCCCGACTTGGAAATACATCGGCCGTTCCCTGACTGTCGCTGGGTCAAAATCCTGGAATTCCCTCCCTAAGGACATTGTGGGTCAACCCACAGAAGGCAGTTCACCAGAACCTTCTCCAGGGGGCAACTAGGGACAGGCAATACATTGCGACACCCACATCCCACAAATGAATTTAAAAGCCCCATCTCCGGCCTCACTACGTGTCAGAGTCTGCGAATGCGTTGCCGTTTCCCAAAGGCACACTCACCATTTTCAGATATTTTCTCCTCAACTGGTTTGAAGATGTGATGACACACCTCCTGAACCCGGGCCTCCTGGTCCAGGGGTGGGGACACTACCACTGCACCAGATCTGGCCCTGGCTGCGTTTTCATTTGGAAACATCAGAAATGTAACTGGGTGCGCACGCTTTATGAGTCGGCATATATCTTACGACTGGGAACATTTATACAGTACTTCTGGATGTTTAAAACACAAGCTGAACTCACCAGGACACAAGTAACACAGAACAGTACAGCACAGGAATGGGCCATTCGGCCCACAATTAAACTAACCTTTCTGCCTGACCTTGGTCCATATCCCTCCATTTCTTGCATATTCATGTGCTTATCCAGAAGTCCCTTAAACGCCCCTAATGTATCTGCCTCCACTACCATCTCTGGCAGCGTGTTCCACACTCCTACCACTCTCTGTGTAAAAAAAACCTTGCCCCTCACATCTCCTTTGAACTTTCCCTCTCTCACCTTGAATGCATGCCCCCAGTTTTAAACATTTCAACTCTGGGGAAAAGAATCTGACCCATCCATGCATCTCATAATTTTATAGACTTCTATCAAGTCTCCCCTCAGCCTCCAGAGATAACAATCTGAGTTTTTCTGGCCTCTCCTTACGGCTCATACCTTCTAATCCAGGCAGCATCCTGGTAAACCTCTTCCACACCCTCTCCAAAGCCTCCACTTCCTTCCCGTACTGCGGCGACCATAACTGAATGCAAGTGCGGCCTAACCAAACTCTTACAAAGCTGCAACTTGACATCTTGATTCTTGTACTCAATTCCCCGACCAATAAAGGCAAGCGTGCCGTATGCCTTTGTCACCACCCTATCGACTTGCGTAGCCGAAGCTCATCACAGCCCTGCACAAGAAAAGCGGGACTGCGATCAGATCCGATCTTTCAGCAATTCTTACATCCAGAGAGATCTGAACAAATGCAATCACAGGCCATGCAATAATTCACTATATCATCATGGGGACTGCAGAAATCTTGCTCACACAGCATGAACGTTTTAAAGCTTATAAATAAAATAAAGTGGAAGAAGTGAAAACATTACAACCCTAATTGAATCAGAGATAGTAAGAGCTGCC